CCCCTGCATCTCATAGAGGATGGAGATTCTCTGTAGCCCTCCTTTTTTTGCTAATGGATTTATAGGAATGTATTCAGAGGTAACACTGTGCTAGCTTATCTCAATGGCAGGTGGAATCATAGCCTGCAAGGCGTGTTTGCAGTGTTTGCTACATCTTATTAGTGCTGTCTTGCAATGTTTAAGTATGTTACAAATTACTGATGCAAGAATGAATTACCTCCCCCTAATAGATTAATTCTTTAAAGTAGCTGCTAAAGGAAGGTTGAAGTGAGTGAATAAAAAGTATTTAGATTTCTTCAGCTACTTTTAAAAGGCATATGTTACTATCTCAACTGAGAGGCGCAGCAGTCTGTCTACAGCAAGCTTTTTGGTTTTGCTAGAATATTCTCTTGCCCTTAATGAGGTGAGAAGAGAAAGTGTAGTGCTGGCATTTAAAAAACAAACAAACAAAAACGCAGAAGAAGTTTTGTTGCTTAAATTGATACAAGTTAGCAAGAATTCATCATGTATTAATTCCTCAAATATACTGGGCATGGTAACTCACTAGCCTGATTTTGCCTTTAGAAGTTTTTTGGTTTTTTCCCCTCCTGCTGAGAGATGAGATTTGGTTTATAGTTGCTTCTGTCAGGTAATTATTATCCATTTATGGAACTAAGTTTGACAAAATTTTACAGATGCTTCTTGTGTGATACAGGATAGCTGAACTGTAGCTCCTAACACCATTATGCGTCTTGCTTTTTTTTATTTTCACCACCTATGTACACCAGCACCAAACTGCAAAGAAGGAATTTCACAGTTTCACTACCTGGGGATTGCAGGCTGATCCATTTAGTATATGTACGTGCGAAAGTTCTTATAGATAATCTCTCTACTGGTCTTTCAGAAGCAGGATCTGGAAGTGCCTTCAAATAGTCCTCTGCCAGCATCTATTTCAGAGCTCAAAGTTGCTAAACATTCCTTGATGTAGTGTTTTTCTGCAACTTCCTGCATTAGGCAAAGGTAGGAAAAAAGCACTAAGCAAGTGCCTCTGTATAGTGAGTGGTTTTGACTGCTTTGGGCTCATTTCAATGCAAAATAATATTATATATTCTATACATGTTACGAACTTTGTGAAAGGATTACTTTCCGGTATCATTTTGACCTGTATGTGTCATACATGCTCTGTGGTAATGAAGACCTCTGTGATCAAAACACCAGTCTGAGAGAACTGGATGACCAAAAGCACAAGTTAGTACTTGAAAATGCCAACTTGTCACTTCATCTTGCCTCTACTTTATTGGCTTTGGTATGTGTTCTGTAACATACAACTTCATTTACAGTATGTCTGTATCAACATTGTTCATGTTGTTTAAATTTAGTCTGTTTTTAAATTTAGTCTATTTTGACTTCTATGTTAAATGTTAGCCTTAATTTGAATGTTGTAGCTCATTTTATAATGGTTAGTCTGTTCCTCTGGTGATGGTGGGTTTAAATTGTAGCTTCTTAATTCCTCTAAAGAATATGCCACTTCACAGTGTAAAATTATTTGGTTTACTGTTGATTTGCCTCTTCCTCCTTAGAGTCTAGCAGAACGCTGCAATTGTTGGTGTGGAAATTGCTCTGCCTTAGTGTCACAATACACACACAATTTCAGGATGGCAGGCTGCCACTTCTATGCAGCATTATGAATAGAATGTGAACTGGAGTCGTATTTTTAATACGGACAGTCTTACCGTATTGAGCCATCCTCTGTCAACAGTGTGTGTTTGGCGTTTCGTAGGTGTGTAGATCCTGACAGTGCTGTGTGTCGCACTTGTGTGTTTTTCAGGGTTACCCTCTCTCACACCATGTGTAGGCCTTTACTTCTGTAGTTCATCACCTGCATAATCCTGTGTGTCAGCATGGTTCGTGATATGATGCCTTGCGAAGATTCTGCAATTTCATCACTTAGTGTGTAGTTTTTTATCACAATCCTGCCTCAAGACTGTCTTTTTCCTTTCTATCCTTTTTCACTTACAGTGCCACTTCCTTCCCTTACTTCTGGTTCATCAAGGCTTTTGCATATATATAAAGCTATGTGCAGTGTAACAGACAGTTTTACATGGGGTACTTAATTTTTTCTTTTTCTTCCCCCTTTGCGTGGTCAACATCTTGTTTTTCCTTTTGCATTCTTGAGACTCCCTTCTTATTGGTGCTAAAGTGTTTGTTACATTTGTGAAAACTGATAAGGAAATTTTTCTGTCTGTGGTAGCTGTCTGAACTATTGCTTTTCTTACTTTGGTCTGACTGTCCTTTGACTGTTAATTGCTCAGCAAAACTATTTTAGCTTACCTCTGTAGTGCTCAGAGGTAAGCTGAGCTTGGACTGAGTAACAATACAAGGACATAACCTGCTTTGTCCTTCTCTCTTTTTAGTGAGCCCACTGTTTATTCTCTAGAATAGTATTATACCTCTGGTGTCTAGTTGCAAACCTGCCTGAAAGGAACATACTTGAGTTCAGGAGGGTGTTGAGGTAAGAAGCGAGTTCACTGCCCCAGTTCAAGAAAAAATAGCTCTAGAGAACTACTGGAATCTTTTCTTAGTGTTTTCTGGTTTCGTAGTTTCACTTGGTGCAGCACGTTCATCAGGACCATGCTTTGTTTTTTGCTTTTTTTTTATCATTTAACCAGGATGAAGCACTCCACACTCCATGAAGCAAACCTATTTCTTTTTTTCTTTTGGTGGGGGGGACAGCTTCTTGTAAATTTTAAATTTTTCAAGTTACGAATTGATACCATTAGGTACATGCTGCAATAATATACTCTTTCAGTCTGACTACTGTGTATGTTAAGAGAACTACAATATACAACTGGCAAATTTTAAATTTGAGCAAATGCTTTATCTCCAGTTACTTAAATTTTATTTACTTGATGCAAATTTGATTGTATGCGGTCTTATTAAGCTTTCAGAATTTGATTCATGTTCATCTAAACAGGAGTGTAGGATTAAACATTTGTGTTAGTGAGTTGTGACATATTTGTCAATTTACTTTTGTATATTTGTTGCTGAAATACTAGTCACTGTTTGGAATAGTGTTCTCAGTTCATTAGTGCTTCCAATTTGTAGGGTTTTTGTACTACAGTTGGCTGATCCTTATGCTTTCCTTGGTGGTATTTGTTAACAAATTGGTCAGTAGGATCACCTGTTTCCTCTGTGCTTTCAGCTTGCTTTGTTTTACATAGTGGTGGTGAAAAGCACCTGACCCTTTTTTTGGCCTTGTTTATGTTAAAGTGTGTTTTCTAATTACTGAGAGTTTTAGTGTTAAGGAAGAAGGCAGAAAAGTCTTGTCTCCTGTACAGTTTGAAAAAAGTGATTCTCTTACTGTTCAAAATATATGATGCAAAATGCATTAATCTTGAAATGTCTGAAATGTCCAAGTTGAGTAAGGTTGAATTTAACCTATAAATACTAAGGTGTTGTGGTTTGGTTGGTTTTTTTTTTAGGCACTCTCTCTGATATGTCAGCTGTCAGCTATAAAAATAGCTGTTATTTCTATAACCAAAACTATTTTTGCAGCAATTTTAACTCCCAAGCTTTCTTAGTTCTGCCTATATTTTGAGTGGAATTCTATAGTGTATTTTGTTTATGTGGTGTGTATTATTTCTCCTAACAGACGCCTCCACCTCAATAAGAAAGCCACAGACAAACAGCCATATAGCAAGCTTCCTGGTGTTTCACTTCTTAAGCCATTAAAAGGTGTGGATCCTAACCTGATCAACAACTTAGAAACCTTCTTTGAACTGGATTATCCAAAAGTATGTATATTATTTAGTGTCTCCTCTTTCTCCCCCATGCTTCCAAAAGTCATATCAGGAGCTTGGGCTAGAGCTATGCATCTTGAATATGTCTTGGATTGTTCTTCCTTCCACAGCAAATGCATAGTTAATCATTTTATATGTTGCAAACAAAACTTACTCCTTTTTTAAAAGCTGTTTATAAAGGTCTTAGGGATGAAACATACTCTATACTGGAATAAAACTTGTTTAATCATTATTCCTGTATTGTGGTATTTATAGCAGTATGAAACCCTTCAATCTATAAAAGATCATTTGAGAGGCCAAACACTCTCCCCAATGAACTACTTCTCTATAACAAAATGTCTAAATGAGAACTGTTAACTGATAACCTGAAACTTGTTAGTGATTCATACTGATGGCTTATCTAATGAAGAATTCCTCAATGATGAGCTGGTGTATCTCGCCAGTTGTTGGTAGGGTACTCTCAAAGCCACTTAATGGTATTAGAAAACAAATAGTTAATAAATGTTTACATTTGCTGTTGAACACTGTGTGACTTTGTAATGTAAGTGATAAGTGTGCCAGAATCTGTCCTTGCTCTAAGAAGCTTAGAAGTTAAAGGAGAAACGTGCAGATGTTTGCCACATTTGTTCGCAACTGTTTGCTCCTGTGGATGGAAAAAGGGCAGTGTTTTCTACTGCATATCTCCTGAATTCTAAACCTGGTAATTTAATAAAAGCTTTCCTCAATTCCTCTCAAAACAGCTTCAGTTTTAAAAGGTCAAAGGTACGTGTAAGCCATACAGCAAGTTTTCTTTGTGTATTCTGACAGAGAGCCTTAAACTTACTCATAAGTAGGCAGGGTAAAACGAAAAGCCACCATTTGGAACTTATTAAAAGTTGGGTAGTTTTTCTGTGATGAAGCTTGGGGCCTTTTGAAAAACTTCAAGCATGAAGCTTTGAATCCTTTTGACACAAAAAAGGTGGAACTGAAAGTTGTGTAGCATTGGAACGAGCTACCCAGGAAGGTGGTGGAGTTGCCAAAAAAACCATGTGGACGTGGCGCTTCGAGACATAGTTTAGTGGTAATGACAGTGTTGGGTTGACGATTAGACTTAATTATCTTAGACATCTTTTCCAACTTAATGATTCTATGTTTAGGTGTGGCTAAGATAAGCTCAAAGCATAGTTGAGGAGTTCTGTGTATGCCAATATTGCAACAAGTGCAAAGAAGCTGCAACAATATATTTAAGTTTAATGACTGCAATGAGTGTTATGCAGCTGAAACACTTGACTATAAATACAATTTGAGAATCAGGAAAAGCTATGCTGGATCTTGCTTTGAGAGCTAGTGTTGACCTTTCCGATAACTTACACACATAGGAAGCAGTTTTAAAAAGTCACCACTCCACACAAATCTGAATTTCAGATAACAGTAGTGACAACTACTTTTTTTCCCAGGGAGAGTGAAGATGGAGGTATGAATGCCCAGTTTACTGATGCACAGGTTACAATACTAGCAGGACTCCCTAACTGCTTGAAAACACTTCTGTACAGTAACTACGAAAATAAATACAGGAATACTTTGTGTAAGAAATCGACATTACATCACAAAAATTAGAGTAAGAGTATTTCCTGGTATTCAAAGTTCAGTTGTCCAGGGAAAAGTTACCACGAAAGAGTTTTCTTAAGCGTGTTTCAGTGAAGCCGAGTTCAAAGTGCAATGAAACTGCTTCTCATACTTTACTGTGATACTCTGTATGTGAAAGTCTTGCATAGAAGCCAGTTATGCAGCTTCTAAACTGCAAGGACTTACACATAATATTTTTATCTGTGAACAATTCTTACCTAATGTGCATATAATAATTTGGGCAAAAATCTTCCTATTCATTTTATGTCCAAATGAACCTGATTGTAATCTTAATGTAGATGAAAATCTTTGTATTTCTCCTGCTTTCTTTCTACTGTAAAGAAATGTAGTTCTTTACTTTGTTACAGAGGTCATTTACTATGAACATTTCTGTTTCCAAATGTTGGAATGTCAAAATTTTATTTCTGGTTGGATTTCTTGAAGAATGTGGATATAGAAATGTCATTGCAATTGTAGATTCAAGATTAGTTATTTAATTACTGACAAAAGTAGTTTCAGTTTTACACAGTTAACTGGATGGGCAATAAAGAACCAAATTCTTCTGTTGGTATTTTCTATGGTGTTCATGCTGTCAGAATTGCTGTGTTCTGGTGGAAGGACCTGTCTGCTAATGAGGCAGGTTTTTTTACCCTTTAAATTATGTTTTCCATGCTGGTAAAATGATACAAATTAAATACTGCCCATTCTTCAGGCAAACTGGCTTTCAGTTTTCATTCTGAGAGACGGATATGTTTGACAGTTTGTAATGCTAGACCAAGTCTTAACAACTCCTGTTTAGTGGTTAATGATTTTAAGCATCCACAATATTCTAAATGCAGTTAGACATTGGGATTTTTTTATTTTTAACCATTTTTCTTTTTGTGAAATAATGTATTTACTTGACTTAGTGACTTCTCTGTGCTACTGAACAAGAACATGGAGATTGTCAATGTTGAGACCACAGGCAGCCTTTGAAGTTCGTTTTACTTTTTGTTAAGTACTTTGCTGAAAATAAAGTTCAGTGTGGTGATAGAATAGCATAAGAAGAATAAGAACTATTTTAATCACTAGCTAGGACTGTTATTTACAACAGTTATATCAAATGAAGTCCAAGAAAATTATTCATAACAAGACTGAAATTTTAAAACTTGGACTGTAAAAATGGCTTCAAGGTATCTTGATCAGAAAATTGCATTTTCTGAATTCTGTTTGTTTGATCGGGTTTGGTTGGACTTATAATAGATCAGTAATTAGATCAGTAATTTAAGCAGCGAGAGAAGACAATTTTAACTAAGGAGCATTCAAGGAATTTACTGTCAATGCAGACACAAATTCCTCCATCAAAGCTTGAAAGCTATCTCGGTGTTGAGTGATTCTTAAAATGCTATTTCTTGTTTGTGGTTCATGTGTAACAAATGCCACTTGAATACTGAAACACACAGATTTCCCTTACCTCTTGTGGCTTTTTTTTTTTAATCATTATACTATGAATGAGGAAGATTTTATATACACTCCATATACATGTTCCTAAGCTTAGCTGTCTTATTTTAGGGGGCCGGTTAGCTCAGTGGTTTGAGCGCGGTGCTGACAACAATAACACCAAAGTTGCGGGTTTGATTCCTGCTCGGTCCCCGTGTGTTGCCTGGTCGAGAGGTGGCGTCCCTGCCCATGACAGGGAGGTTGGATTAAATGATCTCTGAGGTCCCTTCCAACCTAGGCCATTCTATGATTCTATTAATTAAGTGTATGTATGTTGGTCTCTGAGTTATCTTCCATGTCTGTTCGCATCTACGAAGTAAGTGAGAGGAGGGTGCAGTTCAGAAGAATGCAGTCAAGTGTATCTTAACATAATTTCTTCAATATTTTGTGTGCTATGATTTCATTTAATATAAGATTCGATTTAAGATTCATATGTGAGGAAAATGCCTAATAGAACCCACTCTGATACCAGGAAAGCTAATATTCCTCAGTACAAGAGTTTGTTGGGATACAGGCTTGGGGTTTTTCTCCACAAGTACTTGGTCGTACATTACAAAAATAGTCTTATCGAGCTGTAAAACAGCCCCTTTAGTTTTAATTTAAAATCAATTTAATAACTGTGCTCTTTATTTTTTGTCGGTTTTGTACACTATCAAGCTTTATTCCCTAGACCATATTCATATTACGTGTATGTTTGAAAATACATGTGTGTCTATACATTTTTGTTTTTACTAGTATGAAGTATTACTCTGTGTACAAGATCATGATGATCCAGCTATTGATGTGTGCAAAAAGCTGCTTGGCAAGTACCCGAATGTTGATGCTAGACTGTTTATAGGTAAGCAGTGCGACTTGAAGGTGGGACTTTGACTTGTGAAATGTTTTTAGGTCTTCAACTCTGTATACAGTATTCAGAAATAAATAGATGTCTTGCTCAGCCAGTGTTGTTTCTGTAGCATAATCATCAAGTCTGAGGTAATGAAGTAATTTTACAGTCACAATCTTCAACATGAGTCAAAAAAAACCACAAGCAGGAACAATTTGTGCAACCCCTGCAACTTTTCCCTTCTAAATCTGAAACAGCGATTTAAATCCTGTGTTTCTGCTATACCAAGTGTGCAGGAAGCAGCTTTTGAGTTGTGACTGTATTTGAGCTTGAGGTCCTGCAGCTGTCCTATTTAATCAGCTTAGATTCTAGGGCTCTTTCTCCACATTTAATTTAGGAAATGGGATATTACAACTAGATAGTAGAACGTAAATTTTTTTCTCTGACACGAAACAAACTGGACCATGTCTGTCAGTTGGAAGCAAGAGTGTGACTCACTTTATTCTGCTACTTTTTTCATTTGTCTGCCTAAAATTACTGTAGAGGATGATGGGTCATAATCAGTAGTCTCAAGAAATAAGAGGTAGAGAATATTTACCTTACAGAATGTAGCAATAAACTTTGTAGTTCTGCTACCCTTTTAATTACCTTGACCTTTTTACCCTGCCATTTTGAGAAACCATATGAATATTTTTTCCTTTTTAATTCTCTATATAATTGTAGTAAGATGTGAAATATAAAAGTGGACTGGAAGAATTGATGGGTAAACATTACTTAGTAGATCTAAATATTTGGGGAATTGAGTGAATTCTAAAAAAAACCCCACAAAATCCATACATCATCTATCCATGATGGTTTGTGTGTTTTAGGTGGCAAGAAAGTTGGCATCAACCCCAAGATTAACAACTTAATGCCTGGCTATGAAGTTGCCAAATATGACCTCATATGGATTTGTGATAGTGGAATCAGAGGTGGGTGTGTGTTGTAATGTGCTGACTGTTGTATTGCTCTTATTTCCTGTAGGTAAGCAGTTGCTGGAAATTGTTTTGACTGAGAGTACAAGTAGAAATGAAAGTCTGGAAAAAATATTTTCATGGTATAAAAATCTTTAATCTCTAATTAAAAATTAAAATCTCATTTAAAAAACTGTTCAAACTGCTTCCATTGTATTTGCCGTTGATCATAATAATGTTAATCACTGTTATTATTTTTTTGAAACTTTGTTCCTCCGAAGTACTGTGCATCAAAGTGTGTATGCTCTTGATACTGCTAATAGAATGAGAATTGGTGTCTCTGTTTATTGCAGAATTGCTCAATGAACTTTTTTATTTGTCACTTAGTAACACCAGACACACTGACAGATATGGCCAATCAAATGACTGAAAAAATAGGCTTGGTCCATGGGCTTCCCTATGTTGCAGACAGACAGGGTTTTGCTGCTACCCTTGAACAGGTGAGTGCGATACTGGCCCCCCTCTTTCTCCCCACTTAGTCGAAAGGGACATAATTCTATTTTTGATGTCTGAAACGGGACACAGAAATGGCTGTGACAAGACAGAGTAAAGTCCACTCACACAGTACCTTATTTCCAGCAAGGGTTATAGGTAGAGTCTTTGAGGAGAGCACAGCATAAGCAAGGTTATAGCCTGTTGTCATATAATGTTGTCCTAACTTTCTGCAACTTTCACCTGAGAGACTTCTTGAGCAGGAAGTACTTATATGTTTACTAATCCTCAATATTTTAATATTTTAGTAAGAACAGATTTCTTACATGAACATTTCCATTCTTTGAGTCCATGTAGACTTTGAATATCTATAATTGTCTTTACTATAATTGTCATAGATATGTCTGTTATAGGAACCACCACCCTTGTTCTCTCTGGCCCTTGTTCTTCTCTAGTGCTGTTTCATGTCTCCTAACACTTGTTTTGGAAGAGAAAATGAACAGTTGATTCCTTACCACCATCTTCATACCACTCACTCTGTCCTATTCTTCCCTCTCTTCTTTCTCAGTAAGTCCTTCTGTAGAATGAAGAGGTTGAGTTTTCTTGTTTGTTCCTTGTGTCTCAAGGCATGTAGTTTAATTGACTTTTATTCTAAGCTGGCATGTATAAAGCGTTTTTGCCCTGAGGCTAACTAATGTGTGTCAAAGCAGAAATGTGAGAGATGAAGGTGCAGTGGAATTTAGTATTCCTTCATTGCATGGAGAGATGTCAGGTCCTGTGATTTTTTAATTTTTTATGACAAAGTCTGGATTTCCTCTACAAGCGAAGAGCAAGGAGCTATAGCACGAACCTCTTAGTACTGCTGTGTGCTAAAGTAACAAGAATTACAACTCTTGTTTATGTGTTACTGAGAGAGCTTTTTGCTTTTGGATCCAGCATACTGCAATATAAGCATGCTTTTTTTTTTTTTAATGAATTACTGTATTAGTAAGATGTAGATGGCCTTTACTCTGGATGAGTAGTGGTGAGAAGCACTAACACTCATCCCTGTTGTCTTTATGGGACACTTCCAGTTTAATTTATTGAGTCTTGTAAAAAGAATTGCTCACAACTAGATTTTTTTTAATTTGCTCTTTCTGCTCGCAAGTACATTAAATGAACAAAATTCCTCTGCTTCTGTGCAACCATACAGTAAGTTTCCACAAACATGTATGCAGTAATGCAATTTATCTTTAGAAGAGGAGGGAGACAGCATGTCTGTTAGCTATCACCCAATAATAAAGCAATCATAGTGATTAGTAAGTTACCTAGTGAGTTTTTAATATATGTATTCTACGAGAACAATCTCAACGAATTAGAAGTACCAAATGTAGTACAGTAGTTTAAGATGTAGATTTAAAACCTGTTTATTATAGACATGTAAAAACATCGCCAACATCACTATAGAGTTTTCAGTTTTGGTGGTAAACTAGATTTCTTAGACGGCTTGTAAAGAACTTCTCAAATACACCACATCTAGCACTTTTTTTTCTCCCTCCAGATGTTTTGAGACAAAAAGACGTAAATAGTACTTGCATAAATACATACAGACTTCTAAAAGCCTTATCTTTGTTTGACAGGTTTATTTTGGAACTTCACATCCAAGGTCATATATTTCAGCCAACTTAACTGGCTTTAAGTGTGTAACAGGAATGTCATGCTTGATGAGGAAGGATGTCTTGGACCAAGCTGGAGGACTGATAGCTTTTGCACAGTATATTGCTGAAGATTACTTTATGGCTAAAGCTATAGCTGACCGGTAAGATGACTCTTAAGTAAGCTTAAAGCTTTAAGTGCAGTTAAATCTTTTATTATCATTTTTTAACACTTTTTTAACACTTACATACTATAAGTATTAGGTGTTTACATCAGCTTCACATCTATACAGCAAACATGATATGACAAAAAACATGTCATAAGCAATATAGTCTTTTAGAAATAGTTAGGCCATAGCATTCTCAATTCCTTTAGAAAAAAAAAATGAGAACTTAGTTTAAAATATTGTTCAAGTGGTACGTGGTCTTTTCCAATGAGGAGACTTGGTAAAATACACTTTATTTTTTTGATTATACCCCTTGTAATAATATGGTTCATAAGCCAAAGCAATGTTTCAAGTCTAGTAAAATTGTGTGATTGTTCTCTAATTATTTTTTTGCATCTCTTATTTATATGTTTTCTTATTAAAAAAATAACTTTTCAGGGGCTGGAAATTTGCGATGGCCACACAAGTTGCAATGCAAAACTCTGGTTCATATTCTATTTCTCAGTTTCAGTCCAGAATGATCAGGTAAAATTATAATCTTTGCTTCCTCTCCCACCAACCTCTGTCACATGCTTCTGATGTGAATTATCTGATAATGAGAGGAAACACATTCTCAAAGATAATTTGATCTAATGTCTAGAATGCTGAAGTTCCAACACACATCTTAATGCATGCTTCTTGTTAGTGTTGAGAGGCACTGACTTGCCACAAAAGTATGACTGGTAAAAGTATTTAAAAAAACCAAAACAGAACACCTGCCAAAAAACCCTCAAAGGCCCTTAGTACTTTCAAAGATACTACACGTAACATTTTAAAAGGGCAAATTTTTGCAGTATTTTGTTGGAAAGTGTAAATTAAATGAGATTAAACTCATTTTAAATTAATGTTTAAAACATTGCCAGAAAGGACTGTGATGACTCATCATTGGATGAGGAGGGCATAAAGAGTAATGCATAGTGAGAATTGATTTCTTTTGTCCTTTCTAGGTGGGCCAAACTGCGAATTAACATGTTACCTGCCACAATAATTTGTGAGCCAATCTCGGAGTGCTTTGTTGCCAGTCTAGTTATTGGATGGGCAGTTCATCATGTGTTTAGATGGGATATAATGGTATTTTTCATGTGTCACTGCTTGGCATGGTTTATATTTGACTACATTCAACTAAAAGGTGTTCAGGTATGTAGCTCCATTTTCTTTAGAGGTTATTAAAGTTACTAGTGCTGTCTACTTAAGTAAAAAGCTAAGCCTTAATTATAACAACAAAATAGTTTTCTTAACATTAGTCTTCCAGCTTCAGTTATGCTAGCACAAGAAGGAGTAAGTGTGCTTGATTTTAATTTTTTCTATATGCACGTGCCTCTATGTAGGCTTGGAAAATTTGCATATCTGTCCCCCTTAGTCTTCACATTTCCAGTCTGCTCTACCTAGGCGCATCCAAAAGTTTTAAGCTTTGTTAATGGTACAAGAACAGCACCTTTGTGGCAGTTTTGTTTTGTTTTCTTCCTTTTATCTTAGTCGTCACTATGTCTTGTATTTCTTGAGGTGTATATGTACTTCTAAGAACATTTTTCACACTACTTTGGTAGTAACAGACTTACAAGACAGCTGTAGCTGTCTTGTACTGCTGCCAGTACTACTACTAAAATAAAACCTCTCCATTCCTAGAAGAGAGAGCTGAAAAAGCTTTTAATATAGAAAGATGTCACAGAAAAGCATTTGTTCTGATGCTTTAGGAACTATTTCCGCTACTTCCTGCTGTGACCATATTCCATGCAAATCTCATTCATAACTACCTGAGACCCCAAATTTATCAAACACTTCTTATCAGACTGAAGCAATATGGTAGTCTTAACCACATACTGAAAATAAAAAAAGTTAGGCCTTTCTTGTATTGATTCTGTAGGATTCCAGAAGGTCAGTCGTACAGTCGCCTTTCTGATTAGTTTCCTTACCATATGCAGCATGTAAAAGAGCTTTGTGCCTACTCCTTCCTCTTTGGTTTCCAGCTCTGCATGTAGCTGGAAATTCTCAAAAGGAGCAGAACAGAGAGGCTATAAGCTTTTGCCTTAGTCACACTTTCCTTACGCAATAGGCCAAAGGCTTATTTTAGTTTCAGTCCTCTGTGTGAGTGTTCTGTCTAGATGCTGTTTTATGGGGTTTGTGGCAAAAAACCACAAATGCTGGTCTGCTTGAATGCAGTTTTACAAAGCTTCAAAAAGAATAAAGTGAAATTGTCATGATTTCCTTGCCTTTTGCTGTATGTACAGGTCTCTTTCCAAATCTTCTGGATCATTCTGCCAAGGTCTTTGTTTAATACGTGTAATCGTATCTTGAACAGGAAAATGTTCTTGGCTATATAAAAATATGCTATTGAAATATAAGTCTGTACAATGAAGTTTAGAATAGATTTATCTAACATGCTTTAAATTACTTAAAAATTTCTTTTGAATAATCAATGTGTTTAAACAAATTTTTTTTTATATTCCTAGGGTGGTGCTCTGTGTTTTTCAAAACTTGATTATGCAGTAGCTTGGTTCATCAGAGAATCCATGACAATTTATATTTTCCTATCTGCTTTGTGGGACCCCACTATTAGCTGGAGGACAGGACGCTACCGATTACGTTGTGGAGGCACTGCGGAAGAAATTCTTGATGTATAGCCTCAGCTTTGTAACTGTGAATGTCAAAAAGAGAAGGGGGAAAAAAAGTATTATAAATTGTTTATATAAATACTTTTAAGAAAATCTACCTTCAGTAGTTTTATTACTTGTATGTTTTGGTATCTGTTCTTTAATTTATTTTTGCATGGCACTTGCATCTGTGAAAATACATCTGTAATCTTGGCCAAATGGTACCTTGCTCTGTGTACACATAGAAATGGAGAGAATTGGTTCTGACATCTGCTTTCTATAGGAAAGCTCTGCAGTAAACTTTAAAAAAAAAAAAAGTATCCTCCTGGGTATAAACAGCTTCTTACTCCATGGTGTGCTAGCCTAGCAAATTCAGGTCACATAGCTATTTTCCATCTGGATTTTGCAAGGCTGTACCTAGTAAAATCATGCAAGTACAGCTGATTTCTGTTTTACCCCACTGAACTGAGCTAGTAACAGGACCTTGGGAAAGAAGCTCTTAATGCTCTATGCCTACCTCTTGTAGTTGCTGCAGAACAAAGTGAATGGTAAGGTAAAAATGCTTTGCAAAAACAAACTAGAGATGGAGTCTTGTGTTTATATGTACATATGAAATACTTTAGTCATTGCAATGAACCAAAAGTGGACTGAGTTTGATTGAGTTTGAAGGAGTTGCTTGTCAGGCATGTAATGTGGGCATCTTTTGGCCAACTCTGATCTGGTTCTGTCTTGAACCTTGTTAAGCACTGTGCTGTAACTAGCCAAGCTGCTCCCCTTCAATATTTCCATCCTTTTTTTAAGGGGTGTTTGTTTTTTCCCTGTGAGTGAATGCTTTGAGGGGGGTGGGGGTGGTGTGCATGCGTGCGGGGGACATAGTGGGGAGTAGAAGAGAGCAGAAATACATTTCAGAAACATTTCACACATGAGCTATTTTCTTACACAATGTCTTAAGAATGTAATTTCATGATGCAGGTATTTAATATCTTTTTAAAACGAACATACATACCTATACTAGTCATAATTAAGTATTCAATTTCAGTAGATATTGTGAATATATTAAAGGGCCAGGTTGCTGTTACTGATTAAAATTGTAACCTTAATTTAGATATCAAACTAAGTCTACTCTTGGCTTTTTGCCTTCTACTGTTAGTCTAGCCTTCAAATTGGATTTCTGTATTCCAGTGGTATGACTAAAAGGACTAGATTATAATGCATGCTGTGTTTTCCCCCTCTCTGCTCCATGTAGCTTGGTTTTCAACCTCATTGTGAGACTTCCTAATTTGTGGTGAACTGGACTTGTTTTCTCTGAACACTTTTTAATTAAAAAAACAGAGCAAAGCTGGAGAGGGAAGTTGCATAAGCCTTTTGTTCTCATAATTGTAGTTATGCTGCTTTATTTTTCTTCGTATAATATTGTCACCATGAATGTGAGCTGCTAATTACAAGGCTAATGCCAACAAAGTGGCTTTAAAAGTTGGATGATAATGTGTAGCATATTAGCAATAATGACATATATTTATAAAAATGAGCATTTTTACCTTACTTAGCCAATCTCTTACCTGTCATATGCTACACAAGTGTGTAATGTGTATGTATGTCTTGTAAAAAATACTCTGGGCCAAAATGCTTCATCCACATTAATATCTCTCTTGCCTTATGATGCCATGGAACTCTTTTAATGGGCATTTCTCTATGAACAAAGGCTTTTGTTGCATGCTTCATTCTTTGGATGTGAATCAGGAAGAAGCATTTCTCCTGAGGAAAGTTGCACACTGAAAGCCAGTCTAGTTGTGACCCACAAAAACATTCTTGTTTTGCTTTTTACACAGTTAAATTTTGCTGACAGTGTTTTTATCTTCATTTGTTTCATGAAGCTTGACATCGTTCATTGCACTGCTGAAGTGAAGCTTAGCTTGCAAGTTAGCTTTATGCTGATTTCTATGCAGGCAGTGGAACAGAACCAAAACAAGGCTGAAGAGACTTATTTTTAAAAAAAATAGATGGGGATAATTGTTTTAAAGGTGCTTTTGTATTAGTAGAGCCATCTTTGGTCATGGAAAATAAAGCTTCACTTAAGCAAATAGTTTCATCTGGGTATTGTTCGGTTGATTATGAAATGGAAATCAGCACTGTCAAATGTTGTATAAGATGCTGCAACAGAACTTCTACAAGTAAGAAATGGCTAATGTAAAGTTTTGTTGATCTACAGATGTGTAGAATATACCATGTTTGTTTAAAATCATTGTCTTGTTTTTTCTTTTATTTAAAAATAAATTTTGAATACAATCTGTTTGGAATACAGGGGTTTTCTTGCCCTTTGCTCAGTGATGCTGTAACTTGACAGCTTCAGGTATTTATCACAGTTCTGATAGATACAATTTCTAATTAATCTTCACAACAGTAAGTGCATGTGCCTTGCTTTTGATGTTTTTTTTTTACATCCAGATCTTCTGGTTTTGATTTTATATTTTGCTGAAATTAACTCACATGTACCTAAATCCTGTTTTGAGTGTTATCCTTTGTTTTTTGAGTGACTTCAGTGTATAAAAACCTTAAAACTGAACAGATAGTTCTCTGTCTATTGTAAGTAGACGGTCTAGAGGCAGATATTAGAGATGGATATCTTTGCCACAAAACATGTTGAAATTAAAGAGAAGTGTGATACTTTGTTTTGAGGTGCTCTGCCAAAAAAAACCCACTCTGCTTGCTCTGTCTTCCGACTTGGCTTTTTCTTATATCTTCCCTCAGAATTTTTTCATGTGTCATGTACTTAGGGACTGTGTGTATGATAGTGTTGTTGAAATCTGAGAGGCATATTAGAAACAAAACTGGAAACACTTGAAAACTAACTCTAGAAATGTGAATATTCCTGAGTGCATTTTGTGATATATACGTTTGCAGTGACACAACACAATACCTAAATCCTCCTTCCTGAAGCCTTTTATAACTTTCCTGCCTACTGATAACGTTTTGATTTTATTCTGTGCTTTCAGATGAGATCATTCTCACTTGGATTTCTTTCTTTGCCACTCTTGTGTCTCCTGATACTATCTACAGACTACCTGCCTTTCCTCTCTGTCCATTTTGTAAGCAGTAGGAGTTTATCTTCTAACTACTTGCTTTCATATATCACTTCTGAAAGCTGTTTCATTCTATTTGTGGGCTTCTTTTAAATCCTCATACCTAATTTCTGATAATCTAATTTTAAGGAGAGTTTGAGCTCCAGCCATTCTTGTTTGAGCTGGTCCCCCAATAGCTGTGACACTAATTCTTGCTATTGAGGATAAGGAAAACTAAAGTTTTCTATGGCAATAGATAAACTTTTTGCAGTTAGGCAAAGTGACTTAAGCTTAAATATCAAGCTTGTCTAAATAATAACACTGGGAAGAGAGGATGGCAGTGTATAGAATGGCAATAATTTCAAACTTAACCCAGATTTTGTCTGCGAATATATAAATTGATAAATATATAAATTATTTCTAACTAATTGTCAGATTATACTGCATGAGTCTACTACTACATGGATGTTCAATGCGAATATACAAGTTTAAATAGAAGTATTTTTCTTAGCTTATCAAACTGAATTCTGTGAACTGCCCTGTAACAGTAAATGGTGCATAGATGGGCAGATGAGAACTTGCCCCAGGAAAGTCATCTCCACTTTCAAGTTGGCTTTGAAGGAGGCATCTATGATTGCCTTAGAGATGTAGAATGTAAATGCAGCTTGAACCTGGGATGTGATTTTAACAAACAAACAAAACCAAACCAACCAACCCACCCCTCAAAAAACCCACAGACAAAGCAGCCAACCAAAAACTGCACCAACCCTGCAACATCACACAACTCCAAAACTCCCATAGAACCAAATGCCACTGGCTTTCTATATCCTGTAGATCCAGAGCATTTGAAGTCAGACTGCTCTAAAACCTGTACTGCATTGTACAGATTTCCATTGCCAGCTATCAGAAAACTGAGAATAAATTATAATTCTTGTTAAATTCCACATATTCTGCTTCCACTGCTTGTTGGTCCTTTGAACTTTTTGGTGTTCCTCAGGGCTCAGTGTTGGGACCATTTCCATTTAACGTCTTTATTGATGATTTTGGTAAGGTCACAGAGTGTAGCATCAGTGAGTTCGCAGATGACTCCAAGTTGGGTGCGACTGCTGATCTGCACAAGGATAGGGAGGTTCTACAGAGGCACTCGGATAGACTGGATCGATGGCCCAAGGTTAATGGGATGAGCTTCAACAAGGCCAAGTGCCAGGAACTGCACTTTGGCCACAACAACCCCCTGCAGCACTACAGGCCTGGGGACGTCTGGCTGGAGAGCTGCCTGGCAGAGAGGGACATGAGGGTCCTAATTAACAAGCGGCTGCACAGGAGCCAGCAGTGTGCCCAGGTGGCCAAGAAGGCCAGTGACATCCTGGCTTGTATTAGAAACAGTGTGACCAGCAGGAGTAGGGAGGTGATTGTCTCCCTGTACTCCACACTGGTGAGGCCTCACCTTGCATATTGTGTCTCTTTTTTGGCACCTCAATAAAAGAGAGATCGAGGTGTTGGAGCGAGTGCAGAGGAGGGCAGTGAAGCTGGTGAAGGACCTGAAGAATAGATCTTACAAAGAACGATTGAAGGAGCTGGGCCTATTTAGTTTGAAGAAGAGGAGGCTGAGGGGAGACCTCGTCGCTCTCTGCAACTAACTGAGAGGATGCTGTAGAGAGGTTGGTGCTGGTCTTTTCTCACAGGTAGTTAGTAATAGAACAAGAGGGATTGGCTTCAAACTGCAACCAGGTAGGTTTAGACTGGACATTAGGAAAAATTATTTCACAGAAAGAGTAGTCAGGCATTGGAACAGGCTGCCCAGGGAGGTGACTCAGTCACCATCCCTGGAGGTGTTTAAAGGTAATTTAGATGTGGTTTAGGGGTGAACTTTGTAGAAGAGTGTTCATAGTTGAACTTGATTCCAAGGGTATTTTCCAACATGAGTGATTCTATGATTCTGTGAAGCGACGTTTAATGAGGCACTACAGGCCACAACCATATTTGTGTTAAAGAGTCTGGTTACCCATTTTGAGTTGAAAGTTACTGTTTGTATTG